TTGAGTGTTTTATTAGCTTTCGTCAAATATTTATATCGTTGTAAGTCTGGTGTTCAGATTTAAGTATTGTCACGACTCTTTAAATCGTTTTCAGAAAAAGCTTTAACGATATGTCGTAAAATATAAGTTATGATTATTTTAAGAGAACTCTTAAATCAGTTTCACAAAAGTAGTCACTGATGTTCAGATTTTATATCTGTTGTGAGTCTGGTGTTCGAATTTTATAATTGTTTTGAGGCTGGTTTTCAGAGTTATGTATTGCTGGTAGCTTGATGTTAAATGCTGGATGTGAACGTATCGGTAATACTGGGATGCCTAAATAGTAAGTAATAGTATTGCTTCAAAGTATTAGTTTCAAATGTTTAGTTTTGCTTGAATTTCCTTTTTTGTTTGTTTACTGGTTGTCCTAGTTGTTGTCCAATAACTAAGGATTGATGATTGTTTTTAATATGACTCCCCAGTGTGTTTTACCGGTTGTCATAACTCTATAGTTAAAAATGAATGAGTTCGCAATAGATGCTTATTGCTTTTCGTTTTAAACGGTCACTGCTGCTGGACTTTATATTATTTACCCGTAGTCTGGTGTAGGACGGCGGTGGCCGAGTGGTCAAAGCGTCTGACCGTCTAAGATCTCTAGCTTTCCACCACTTGGTCGCGGGTTCGGGGTCTACGTAGGCAATTGCCAGGTACTGTTCGGAGGTCGGTGGTTTTCCTCAGGTACTCCGGTTTTCCGTCACAGCCGAAACCTGTCTGTATGTTTTCGAGTTGTTTTTGTAATTTAATGAATGGGTAGCTTTGTCTTTGTGTCTTGTCCGGTTGTCCATCTTTGGTTCTGTACAGCACACACTTTTGTTTGTCATATGTAGTTCTCCAAATCTATGCATTTGCTGTCTTGGAAACACAAATAAACGATATGACTTCTGAAGTTAAAAGATTAATTATAAACGGTCAAGTTCGCACTTACTATAAATAGATATAAATTGTACATTATAGATGAAACAATTTGTGTTTCCTTACATTGCATGCATGTTATCATGAAATTGTATTTGATAGTCACTAGTCCAAATATGTCCGTTCCTTGTCGTTCTGTTTTCCGTCGACGAAACCTTACTAGTGACAAACTATATCGTTATGTTCTATAAAACCCGACTCCAAGGAACCAGTACACAGGAAATGTTTAAGTTCCGAACGGACGTAAATCTGTAACGTCCGCCAAGCTTTGTTCAATAGCTGTTCGAGAATTTTACTACCTCTTTCCTTTACATGTGCATTAAAACAAATCATACTTGCATTATATGTGTGTTCTATGGTTTCGGTTTAATTATCAACGGCACACAACTTGATGTGTATCAGTCAGTCTCCGACGGGTACTAAATATAAGGTTTCCTTATATCGTATTTCAACGTAATGTATTTAAACAATGTAATTATTGCGTAACACATTGCTTTCAAATTAGAACCGATTTGGAATGTAGCGTATACGATTTTAAGGTAACGCATTCATCCCAATTGATATCCATTTACGAACCGTCTTAAGTATCCGATGTCCATCAAAGTTAGTAACCGTCGCTTTTAAGATGAATTATATTGGCCTTGAATGAATTCGGCTAAATTGCTTAGCCACTTTATTGACAGCAATTGGGGATTAGATAATATTGCTTAACTATACAAGTATCAATTACTACATCAGATATAAACCTCACAGAGCCGTGGTGTTGGTTGCTAAATCGTTTAGAGGGATTCCGATTGTCCGTTCTAACGTGGTGTTAGGAGCAGGAAAACGGACTCTTTACTGCTTTAGAGGGCTTCCGATTTTCCATTCTTTGGTTTTTACAGTAGGAAAACCGGTTTTTTCCCTGGTACTGTGGGCTAAGTTCCGTGGTGTCTTAGAGAAGGAAAACTAAAATGGATTCTTTGCTGGTTCAGAGGGTTTCCGAATGTCCCTTCTAAGATGGATACTAGACGAAAATAACAATATAACGGAATACAAATCATGAATATTCATGAAGGTTTAGCCTGTCGCTTTCAATTTGTTACAGTGATCATTAAAATTTTAAAGCAAAAATTCCAAATCAATTTTCAAATGAGGTCCTATAATTGATACATAGTCTATACTATCAAATAACACCTACATGTACTGAACGTACAACGGAGATATCAATTAACAGTTCTTAGGTTGCTTTTAGGTTTTGGAGTACAAACGTCAGTAGTAGGTATCCAACAATGCTGTATCATAGGTAGGTAATATAATCAAGGTTTTACTACCGTGTCGTGTCTAACAAACCCCTAACCAACACGTAGTGGGTGTTGTGTCCCTGTTTAACACAACCATTATACGTTACATGGTGTGCATGACCGTTATTGGCGGTAAACATGGACATACTCGTGTAGGCCATAATGTATCAACAAAGTAAAATATTTACAGGGCTCGTATCAAAATAACATGTACCAGACTCATTTTGGTCAGAGTGTACGACAATCAACTTGTAATGGACTCGTGTAGGCCTTGGTGTATCGACAAAACGAAGTTAATACCGAAAACAGGATGTTTGAAAAGTGCTGTAAATTGAATTAAGTTGATTTCCGAGAGATTAACATGTGGATGTATTGGGGTTCATCTTAACCTTACATTGTGTCAGTAATCGTGTTTGTCTGGCATATGATCACAAACCTTCGACAATGGTCTAGACTCGGCACTTATCATAGGGTAAACCTTTTGGCGTCCGTTCTATGGAAGCCTATGGGGACTTCAGCAGTTCTCAATGGGAACTCTAAACGAGGAGGTTCTTCACGAACAAAATGTATATTTCTCATGAGATCCTTACATTTGACCTAGCGGTCTTTGTGTAACATCTACGTTGCTTTGGATTGTGGAGGTTCATAGTGCAAACCCATTCCCATGGTGAGCTTGAATGAAGCGCGAAACAGTTCAATGGCGAGTTCTTATACTTGATCGACAACTAAATACAATAAAGTAGGGGGAAAAAACCTCGATAAATATCATGAAACGTTCACAATGTACATTTTGATTTGTATACGCAAGTGTTGAATTTGTCCGGAACGCAAGGCTTTGCTGACATTCCCTCCTCTGTAGCCCCGTACCACAGCAGACGGACGTCCGATCAATCGTCCACACAGCCGCCCTAGCCGGTACACCACGCGATAAGGGGTGACAGCCCCGTCATATACTGATGTAAAAATTCACCCACTGTTTTATTCTCCCGCCTGATCAGGAGCTATCGAGACAACATGCAATATGTTACAGACACATCATACCGGCGATCAAACATAAAAGAAATGAAATGTTTTCATATAAATTGGCAAAGTTCCCGTAAGGCAGATGTACGATCAACCTATTTACCCTGAACAACGCAGTTCATATACACTTTGGCTGCATTCAGTTGAATAGGGGCCACTCATGTTATATGGAAAAGGGGATTAGATAAATTGACTAAGAAGTTGATAAATTTTCCGTATGGCCCATGCCTCAGTTGTGCATTCCATATGGACAATGCAAGGTAGTTTGTGATACGTATTAAACTTAGCCATGTGACTTTGTTTAAAACGTGACCAAGTTTTAATTGTTTTTTGATATGGTAGACTAAAACACACAATGTATTGTCGGTAGTAACACTTTCAGGAATGAAGCGGATCGCTACTCTAGGAGGTATATCCTCGGGACATTCACCCATTGTCTAGTTTTCTTAATAGCTGTGTAAAATCAGGCTTGCTAGTTTAGTCAGGAGGTGGACACACCTGATTCTCTATTAACATCCGGTCTTCAGAACTGGCGAGGATGTCTTTCCATAATAATGACAAAGTCTGGCGTGCAAATGTGACAATTGAATGAGTTGCTGTTCGGGAATGCCGCCGGAGGACCTTTAGCAATGACTCCGGTATCCATTGAACGTTACTCTCGTGTCGCAACGTTGACCGTGCTAACGCGTGCCTGCCACGTAGTGATGCAATCTGTCTAATCTAAAATACTGTATAGATATGCGTGTTTTCATTATAATGTGTTTTCTTGATAATCTGTTGCATAAATAGATCGTGTAGTTTGAGGGGTTGGAACGGCACGCGGAGACATACAGAGCTTTTTGCATATGTCCACTTTTCGTCTTGCTAGCTTTTCTTATATCACGTTTTGTCGAGACGCCGGTAGGAACATCACTCTGTCTGTTTCGACATACTGGACAGACCGTCTGATCTCGATAAATGTCATTAGCGAAGGATGGCCAAATATCTACACGTCAAAACATCATTATTTCGTACAGTGAAATAATTTTGGACTGTCTGGTTTACCGTTACTTTTTTTGACGAATTAGCTAAAGTGAAATTAGTTCAACTTGTTAATATCCAATAAGTGAACTTTCAAAATTGTTTGATATCCGGAAAAGGTCCCATTTTATCATTTTTTTTATCATATCGAATGAAATTTTGTTTTTTACTTATGTTGTGCGAGACGTAAATTTTTGCGCCGATTCGTGAGAACGGTTGATGTAGAAAATTTAGATATCTCACAAATATTAATTTACACACATTCTTCTTTAATGAGTCGTTATTGCAGTAAAACTAGGAACTTAAGTATCTACGAAAGAAATTTATTTAAAAAAACGCTAGAAATCTCGAGCAGAGAAAGCAGGCGGGATATATCTTTACTCAAAACACCAGAAATTAACGACCGTCAACTATAAGTTACCGAAGTGTGATGTTACAGAAAAGGCTGAGACTTAAGTAATGAAACATCTTCAACAGGCATACGAGCGAAATAGAATTTTGGTTTTAATTTGGTGGAACAGGAAAACTGGTGCCAATGGTATTATTGTCTTGTAGACCTTACGCAACGGTTTCGGGTTCAATACTAAAACCGTATTACGTTGTGTTTTTAACATCAAATGAAAACTACAAGCTTGGGTATATATCGGAAATCATTTTAAAAGAAATTACAAAGCAAACGAATGCTGTTGAATCAATATTGTTTTTTTCTTATTCTAATTACAGATATTGAAGAAACGCTATCAATACGAAACGTAACGGCGAACAGAGAGCTGGCTTACAGGACGGGCGGACAACGAAGATGTAACCACTTTCAACAACTCTTGTTTGACCTTGAAAGGAACAATGAAAGAGACATATATAACATCTTTTACTTACTGTTTTTGGTAAATGTGCGACATTTTATCCGAACCATTACGGTCTATAACGTGTTTGGCACAAAGAACTGTGCAAGATATAAGTGTTTACTTCCTTCTATTGGAGTATTGGTGTATTCTTTAGGAAAATTTAATGTCATTGTAGAAAAAAATTGGGTGTTGTAAAATCTCTGACCAACTATGTCCAGCAGAGATGACCCTATGCACGGTGACCCCGATCACTCGTCCACGGTGCTCCTTCCTCCGGACAGAGTGGACAGATCAGACGCCGTTCCCATGTTAACTTGTGACGCAGACGACGATCGTGACGACAACCGGAAGTCAGAAGGATTTCTCACGATCACCCGGAAATACGTCCCGACGATGAAGCTGCAGAAGCCAGCGTGCAGCACGGTGCGCAGATTTCTTTTATTGATTGTGGGATGTGTGCTCGTCGGATTATCGCTAATCCTTATGGTAACCGGAACCATCAGATTCCACCAGTGCCAGAATAACAAGGTAACTCAATTTTGTAGTGTCGCCAACCATTCCCCGGGGCATTCAAGAGGAAATGACACCAGTAATTGGGGCTTGTTAAAGACCTCGAGCTTAAATTGTGTTAAACGCCGCGTCTGTGTGGTTTCATTGTAGTTCCAGTTCGATATCGCGGAATCAAAAATAATATATTAAGCGAAATCGAAAAAGTATTTGTACTTTTATATACAGAGCCTCGTGATTTTCCTCTGTCCAGTATTGTTGAGAGCATCAAGAACGGCATATGTCTAATTTGTTTCCATTTCCAAACTGAAGTACACTTCAATTCAAAGCAGTTAGTTCTGGAGAGCGCCGCTCGGCGGAGCTCTGTTTACGTGCTCTAACAAGCGAACGTAATTGGATATGACTGACAGCCGCCAAACACTTTCGTACAGTGTACCCACGATAAAAATGTCTATCTTTTTTTTTTACTAAGACGAATGCTTTCGATTTAAAAAAAACCAACTAAGACGAATGCTTTCGATTTAAAAAAAAACCAAAGTCCTGCATGTAATTGTAGCGAACTTCTTCTGCATTATATTGCGTTATAATTATAATATTAACTTTGATTTTCGCTACTCAAAGTGGAGTACAGACGCTGTGGACGAGTATTGTATTTACGTTGTACTTAATAACTCGTGTATAACAACCCAACATGTATCAATAGCGCGTAGACACGGGGCCATTACAGAAATAGAGGCTTACAATTTTGTTGATATATCGAGATGCCGCTAGTTATTCAAAATTTAGGAAAATGTCACGACATTATTTTTAATAGTTGTCACGAGATATGTTAATTAGCTGGCGTTTGTTTTCTATTCCTTTATGTGCAATACGACGCGATTATTGACACATCGATAACATTCATACACTTACTACTGCGACAGACTGTATTTTCACCAGAGAGGACAACCAATTTTAGAATGAAATACTTGAAGACAATTGAATTCAAAGATGAAGAAATGTAACCGTGACGGACTAAATTTCCACCGCGAAAGAAAAAAACCAAATAGAGAAGTGTTAACCGGTACGAACAAAAGTACCCAATCATTGAATAATTGTTAGCGGGTCAAACACTTCATTCGAATTCGGTACAGTGACGTTTTTTTGGGAACAGTAAAAAAATATCTGTTAAATAACATACTGTCATTTCAAAAATAGGCTGATACGTGATTTTCAAATCACGCCATTTCAAATATAATGAACCAATGTTTAAGGTCCCGGTTAAACTCTTACGGTTGTCGGGTTTCGTAAATGCACTTCTGGGACAAGTAGGAGCGAATATGATTTTATGTGGGATTTAAGCGAGGGATTTTTGTAGATTATTGTCGACGAAAACAAATCTGTTTCGTTCTCTGTTTGACATAATGGCTGAGTGTACATATAGGAGAGCTACACCACATGTCAGTCATGATTTGTTGCCAACTATATATCGAGAAATAGCTGCATCTTGATTTAATTGTCAGCCAGGGATAAGAGGAGCATTTATTTCTCAATTTAATGTATAGATTGAAAAGTCGCTGATAGCGGGTTTTGACGACTGTTTGGAGCTGTGGAGCTATATTTGTTCATCGATCACAAATAACTATCAAGCTTCCACAGCGAACATTCTTCATGTCAGTAAAACGGTGTAAGGTATCGACATTTGTGAATACTACACGGCAGTAGTGTAGTGTAGCGTCAATAGAGAATATTTAACGTCAGTTAGCGGTGTAGTGAATATTTAACGCGAGTTAGTTATTTAACGTCAGTTATTGGTGTAGTGTAAGGTCAGTGGTGAATGTACCATAAATGGTGACAACTTAACGTCAGTGAGTGGTATAATGTACCGTCGGTGGTGAATATTTAACGTCAGTTAGTGGTGTAGTGTACCGTCAATAGTGAATATTTGACGTCAGTAAGTGGTGTAATGTACCGTCAATGGTGAATATTTGACGTCAGTTAGTGGTGTAGCGTACCCTGAGAGGCGAATTTTTAACGTCAGTTAGTGGTGAAGTGTACCGTCAGTGTTTAAAACATTTTTTGGTAGTGTAATGTATCGTGAGTGGTGAAATATTCCATCAGTGCTGAATACGCTACGTCGTTTTATGGTGTTGTGTAGCTTTAGTTGTGAATACGCTACGTCGTTTTATGGTGTTGTGTAGCTTTAGTTGTGAATACGCTACGTCGGTTTATGGTGTTGTGTAGCTTTAGTTGTGAATACGCTACGTCGGTTTATGGTGTTGTGTAGCTTTAGTTGTGAATACGCTACGTCGGTTTATGGTGTTGTGTAGCTTTAGTTGTGAATACGCTACGTCGGTTTATGGTGTTGTGTAGCTTTAGTTGTGAAAACCCTACGTCGTTTTATGGTGTTGTGTAGCTTAAGTTGTGAATACGCTACGTCGGTTTATGGTGTTGTGTAGCTTTAGTTGTGAAAACCCTACGTCGTTTTATGGTGTTGTGTAGCTTTAGTTGTGAATACGCTACGTCGGTTTCTGTTGTTGTGTAGCTTTAGTTGTGAAAACGCTACGTCGTTTTATGGTGTTGTGTAGCTTTAGTTGTGAATACGCTACGTCGGTTTATGGTGTTGTGTAGCTTTATTTGTGAATACGCTACGTCGGTTTATGGTGTTGTGTAGCTTTAGTTGTGACTACGCCAAGTCGTTTTATGGTGTTGTGTAGCTTCAGTTGTGAATACGCTACGTCGGTTTATGGTGTTGTGTAGCTTCAGTTGTGAATACCCTACGTCGGTTTATGGTGTTGTGTAGCTTTAGTTGTGACTACGCTACGTCGGTTTATGGTGTTGTGTAGCTTCAGTTGTGAATACGCTACGTCGGTTTATGGTGTTGTGTAGCTTTAGTTGTGAATTCCCTACGTCGGTTTATGGTGTTGTGTAGCTTTAGTTGTGAATACGCTACGTCGGTTTATGGTGTTGTTCAGCATCAATGGTGAATGCTTAACTAGAAAGTCCGTTAGAAAACAGTCGGAACGTTGTATTTCAAGATTTAATCATGTTTTCTGGCCACGTGTGAAAGCAATTCTTAAATATCACTTCAGATTTCTTCATCAAGCTGCAGTCGGCAATGATGTAACGTGTTAAAAGACATTTGCTGCTGAGTTAACCGTTCTGGTGACATTGTTCGTTCTGTCACCGCTATATCCTTTAATGAACTTGGTTACGTAATTTCTGAATTCGCTGTTTACACTTTTGTGAATTATTCTAATATTATTTAATGCGACGTGCATGTTGATTAAAGTTACATTTGCACTGCAAGTTTCACTATGGACAGGCCTCAGACCACAGTTAATGCTTCCGGTTTTAAATGATTTTTTATCTATTTCTTGTGAATGAAATGAATCTATGTCATACAAAAGCATGATCTTTCCCCCTTTAATTAACGTGGTTGATTCATTTGTGTGATTTTTTTGGCCGAAGGATATGGTATGTTGTTGGGGGCCTGAGCATGAATTTCAGGGTCTTATCAAAGTACAACGGGGTTGTGTTGACACAATTTAAATTATCTCTAATAAAATGCCCACCATGAAAACTTTTCCAGCTCACCACAAATGTGTCTTGGATACATGTAGCTGAACAAAATCTATGAAGATCAGGTCTCGAGCAAAATTATATAACATTGTTTGAAGGGGTTTTGTTTGGTAGGAACATATAGGGAAATTAACTGTGGTCTGTGGCTTGCATAATTATGAGCATTACCATACGAAATTGCGTTCATAAGACTATGAATGCAATTGGATCAGCGTAATTTCGAAGCTTCTCCTCCGGCTTCGAATAACATGAGACAGCCGCTAAAAGCAAACATTTTGATGACGTTAGGCTGTTCCAGGCAGATATCTCGTTTGAACTGACGACATAAACACTTCAATATCGGAAAAAGTAAGGAATGTCTGTATTTATTATTTATAATAAGTAAAATATTAAAATGTAAATATCAGGATTGAACGGCGTTTTTTCTTTGTTCATGCCGGTATGAAATTGAAAAATTGCCGTTCAATCCTTATTTAAAAGGCATTTTTTTTATCATTTATGGTTTGAACGGGACTGTGTTGAATACCGTCATGTTATAACACGCATTTCAATCCGTATATTTTACGTTAAAAACGACAAAGACAATATTACTCTATCATTCTTTGTGGTCTGCATGATTCGGTTTGAAATATTTTGTAAACAGACTGTTTCTGCGGAGCAGCCATTTGCGCCGGAGCTAGATCTTGTTTCCTATGGTTACTAATTCAGTCAGGTAGTGAATTTGACATAACCTTACGATTGGCTCCCGAATACTCATAAGTATATCTTAAAGTAAAGGTTATTTACGGTAGTGTATTATCGCGACATTTTTTTTCCTCCATGGTATTTATTATCGTCTTTTCTTGACTACAGGGGTCTTCAGTCTGGGACAACCAGTTCCTCGGAACACACTTCGGTAAGTATGACAGCGTCTTATGTCCGAGTGCCAAGGGATAAATGCGCTGCAAAATGATAGCAAAACAATTAAGGTTTTAGGTCTCGCTGAGGTATCAGAAGATTGAAATGACCTCACCTGGCCCGAAGGAATATATATTTTATTATTTTTCGGGCTTGTTCACAATAAAAAAAAACACCTGTTCTCTAATTGGCCGAGACAGTTTCACATTCTCTCTTAATTTCCTCTAGATCAAGGGCAATCAAACTTTATATGAAAAACTACACTTTTAAACAGGTGCTGTTATTTATAGGGTTGATTCTAGATACAAGATGCCCTATCTGAAATATTTTTACAAAGTCTCAGTTTTGCCAAGATCAACGTGGTACTGGTGGATAGGTATCTCGTACAGAACTTACACTTACACATTCCTAGCAACCAAATAAGAACTGTCTTGCCGATGTGCTGCCAATAGCTAACATACATAATCCATGAGTTGGTTTACAAAAAAGTTTATGCCCGGCGCAGCATCCGTCGGTCCATCTCTTGCCATCGTTTCTTTTAAAACGCTACTATAGTCCAGAACAGCTTAAGGAAATGTTTCCTCAAGTCAATCATCCTTTGTCAAATTAATTAAAAAAAGGTTTCAACACCAGGGCGCAGGCCCCAAAAGGAAAAGGTGCTTTAACATTTTTTAAAGATTTTGGGCGTTTATTGCATGGAGCTAAATCACGTGTTTAAACCGATTATATAAGCGTCAGTTATTTTTGAATTCTTGTGTTTATCATGTTATAATCGATATCTTGACAGCGGATCTGGTGTCGTTAAACAACTTTGCTCTAGAGAAGGTTACTGCACAGACGTCAACCAACATAGCCGCAGCTGATGGCGAATCCAAGTTTGCTGTGGATGGCGATATTAACACGTGCTCCGAGACGGGTAATAATCTACAGATTTAGAAGCGTGACTATAATTAGCCATTCTGATAACTCGCCAGTTGAAGAGTTGATTAGTTATTTCGGCACTGGTGTTAAGTCAGATGATAAGTACTGAATTTGGTTGTAATTTAACTTCTTGATCTATTGAATTCTATTGTCATTTCACCTGGTATCGAACGATCATTAAAACTGGCGATCTATTGAATTCTATTGTCATTTCACCTTCTGTTGAATGTCCATTAAGACTGGCACACTATAAAGTGAAGGAAAATTAAAGCAGGCGTACTAAGGAACTTAATTTTCATTTCATCCTTTTTATCGAGCGGAAATTAAGACTGGCGTTAAAAAAGTAATTGGTTGGTATTAACGTTTTATTTAGTTGATATTAATTGAATTACTTGGATGGCATTAACGTTTACCTGGTTGATATGTATTGTTTTACCTGCTTGATACTAACGTTTTACCTGATTGACATTAAACGCTTAACCTAATTGATATTGTTTTACCTGTTTAATATTAACGCTTTACCTGGTGGATATTAATGTTTAACCTGATTGATATAAATATTTTACCTGATTGATATTAACGTTTTACCTGGTTGATATTGACGTTTTACCTGATTGATATTAATGTTTTACCTGATTGATATTAATGTTTCACCTGGTTGATTTTAACGTTTTACCTGGTTGATATTATCGTTTTACTTAGTTGACCTTAACGTTTTACCTGGTTGATATTAATTGTTATACCTATTTAATATTAACGCTTTACCTGATTAATATTAATGTTTTACCTGTTGATATTAATTATTTTACCAAGTTGATATTAATTGTTTTACCTGGTTGATATTAATTGTTTTACCTGGTTGATATCAAACGTTTTACCTGGTTGACGTAAATATGTTAATTAGTTGTTGCGTTATAGATGCGGAGATGCGCCCTATCTGGGAGGTGGATCTGGGTACCGTCCGACCCGTGGGTGACGTCATGATCCACGGTCGTGTAGGATTCGGTAAGACACCTAACAATATCGGGTTATTTACAGATAAAAGACACATACAAAATGTCATTTATTAAATCTTTTCTGTAATAATTGACACATTCAGGTGTGTCTTTAAAATTTGTTCGCATCAAATGGTAATGTCTGTCAGCCTAAGATCTTATACTAACCAAATTATGAATTAACCTCACCTTGTTCTTGACCCTCAGAATTCCACGACATGTACGTGTACATCAGGAACACTAACTCCAGTGGTGACCGCCAGGTGTGCTTCAGTCACCCAGAGCCCCTGAACAGTCACGTGCTCGTTACCAACTGTCGTCAGGACCTCAGCGGCAGGTAGGTAGAAGAGGAGTACGTTGCAGACCTACTGTTATAACTGCCCCAGCGCACCATGATAAGTTTGTCTGCGAAACATGTGGCAATTATACTATTAGGTCTACAGCATCTATGCAGTTAATTGCTTATCAGTTATAAATAAAATTCAATGTTAGGACTGATGCATTTCCATACAATTCAAAATGTCTCGTTGTTATCGGCGAGGTCATGTCAATTCCTAGAAAAGCAGCTGATGAACAGCTGACGTTAGGCGCAGCCTCCCGCGAAAAATCGAAATATAAAACAAAAGTATCATCTTCCATTCAGTTGTTTTTAATTTTCAGAAAAGAAACAATATTTGAAATGAATAAAATTATTTTTTAAATCAGCGTCGATTAAAGAATATTTCACTTTTAAGAACTATTTTTTGAGAGCGTATACACGCAATCGTAGCAGTTTGTATTCATAGGCTACAAACAGCAGTTGAAGTTATACTCTCATAAAAAAACCTCGTAAAACGGATAAAGATGGGCATTGCCAGACCAAATGAAAATGTTAAACAGTCAACGCTGATCTTTAGAGTCAACATTTTGCTGACGTCCACATTTCAACCACTTAGTGACTCAACATTAGTGTACTTTGTAAGTGCAAAAAAAGTTCAAACTTCCCGTTATGTGAACATATCCCATAATTTTGCACAAAATGACCAACTGAAACCAATATATCTCCTGTAATACCATTTTGTTTGTACTTCAGATATGTAACAGTGGAAATGACCTCTAAGGACCATACTCCTGATGTACGCTTGGTGCTTTGTGAGGTCATCATCACACAAAGGTAGCGTGTGCGCATGCGTGAAAGGCAATGCAAGTCCCGAGGATCTCACCCTTAAGAAGAACTCATAATTGTTGATTGGGTGCCATATTGGTTGGAAGTGAATCAAAGGATACACAAAAAATTGTCAGGTTGAAAATATTTATTTCGTATTTCCAAAACTAGGACCATTCCTAAACGATTTCGTTTTGATGTTCGCTGGACAAGATACATATAAAATATGTATTAGGACCGGACTTTAATCGGTAGTAGTGAAGTGTCTCTGAAATGAATTGCCACAAAGTGGACTGTATAGGCGTGCTCACGTGGCAATACAGGGTATCGCGAAAACGATTGTGAAGGATATTCAACATCATAAAGATGACTGTCCCAGAAATCTCTTATTTGTGTACTTTTATAGGCTGGCGCTCCCAGTCCGGTTTTTGTATTTTGTATGAATTAGATGATGTGTGCGCTGGACAATCATGTGTTTTACTTCCCTATGTGCGGATACTCATTCACGATTTTGGTGGAGCCATTGGTTCTGTTCATATGTCCTCTGAAAATCCAAGCTTCATTATCACAAGCGACATATCCGGTTGCTTTTCCTTCATCAACTTCACACGTAGACGGCGCCCGTAGGCAGAATTTTGAGAGAAATTATTTGTGTTTGCAGTGCGCGTGCGTCGAGAACGAATCGGATGACATTTGTTCTCACTTACTAACTGAGATAGTGTGATAAATTACAAAAAATACCCACTGTTCCCAACGCATGCGCAATGAAGTTCCACTGCTTTCATAACAAACACTCTAAGATACGACATTGTAGATGGTATTAGTTATATGTCAATCGGGAACCGTCGGCAAATCACATAATCCAGAAAATACAGTGCCCGTTTACGGAAAGTGCCGACGATTCCCGATTAGATGGTAGATAGTGCTCAGTCCGGAGGGCGAAAATTACAACAACTGTCAGTTATGTGTGCACTTTACCAAAGAGGAATTTAAGAATTTACTAAATGGATATGTATACAAGAGACCTATGGCTACAGTAAAACACCTTTATAACGAATCCCAGGAGAGTTTAAAAGTAAGACATCTTTGAAAACGAATCCCACGGGAGCTAGCATGTAAGTGAAACATATGTATATCAAACCAAAGACATTGGTTCTCTACAGAAAAACCCCATCTGTATAACTAAACGCAGAAAACTTGAAATGAAAGTTTAGTGTTTTGTGCTATTTCCGTGAATGATTTATTTTTATTTTTTTGCCAATAAGTAGTAAGCCGTAACTTAAAAGAATTTTCGTCCAAAAGTACTCATCCGTGAATATGTAGAATATTGCGAAAAGTCCTAGTATTGGTTGTAACGTCAATGTATTGAGTGATGTCCCACCTCCAGTTACCAAGCGACTAGTGGGCCAAAAGTTGTCTACGCGATTCATGATTTTCATTTACGACTGATTTGTGAAATGTGGGAACGTCACCAATACGTGTCTCAAGTATTCTGCGGAAAGATACAATACATAGATACTTAGCTGCCGACATAGCACATTGAACTTTAATTCATTCGAACAGAACCGTTATTGTACTGGGTTTATAATTAAATGCCGACTTTGAAAGCTGAACTACAACTCCAAAATAACAGCGACTACAAACTTTCATGAAATTGTAATGGCTGTGTTGTGTTTGATTCATCATGTTTCTTCAGAAAGCAACATATTAATCAGTAAATCATGTTTCTGTTTGACAAATAAAGCTATATTTACAAAAGTCGTATGTGTTTGTTTGTCGGGTATTGGAGTAATTAATGGTAACTATGGTAACTGTGTATGGTTGGAACTAAATTTAGAAAAATATTGAAAGACATCAAACTTATCTTGATTTTGACATTTCACTCAAGGTGTCAAGGCGTCCCTTAACTCGTGCATAGGTTATTCACTATATTACAAGAATATACAGCTGTCTATATACCAGTATAACCGTCTATTTCACCAGTATAACCGTCTATATCACCAGTATAACAGACTATATCACCAATATAACCGTCTATAACACCAGTATAACCGTCTATTTCACCAGTATAACAGACTATATCACCAGTATAACAGACTATATCACCAGTATAACCGTCTATATCACCAGTATAACAGACTTTATCACCAGTATAACAGACTATATCACCAGTATAACCGTCTATACCACCAGTATAACAGATTATATCACCAGTATAACAGACTATATCACCAGTATAACTGTCTATATCACCAGTATAACCGTCTATAACACCAGTATAACCGTCTATATCACCAGTATAACCGTCTATATCACCAATATAACTGTCTATATCACCAGTATAACTGTATATTACCAATATAACTGTCTATATCACCAATATAACAGACTATATCACCAGTATAACCGTCTATATCACCAGTATAACAGA